TTACTGTCCCAGTTACCAGTTACTAGTTACCCGTTACTGTCCCAGTTGCTCGTTACTGTCCCAGTTACTAGTTACCAGTTACCAGTTACTTGTTACTAGTTACCAGTTACTAGTTACTAGTTACTGTCCCAGTTCCTGAACTAGCGCTGTGTGTTTGTGTCCCAGGTGGAAGCCCGAGAGGATGAGGAGCAGAGCATCAAGCTGGCAGAGATCCTGGAGCTGCTGCTGGCTGCTGGCTACTTCAGAGCCCGGATTAAAGGACTATCCCCATTTGATAAGGTCCGTGCTGCTCCTATATCATAGCACAATTCCCCTGTTCTTGCGAACATGGGGCATTACTGGACACTTTTGCTTGTCCAGTTGATAAAGATACAAGTTTTGCTGAACTGTGAACACCCATAAACCAATGAGCGCAGGAAGCTTGACACAGTGAAGAGAGAGCCACTGATCCCTCACTCAGCGTGCTTCCTCCTTGTCTCCTCTTCAGGTGGTAGGTGGTATGACCTGGTGCATCACCACCTGTAACTTCGATATCGATGTGGATCTACTTTTCCAAGAAAACTCAACCATAGGCCAGAAAATGTAGGTGTTTTTTTCAGCCGACTGATATTTTGAGCTGTCCCAGATGAACACTGACAGGTTGGAGAGAAGTGTGGTGAAGTCTTTGCTCATCGATCCTAAACAGAGTGAGACAGGATCATGTCCCATGGTGGGTGGTTTACAGCCTCAGCAACCACAGAGAGGCTGACGTGACAAATTATGATAATGTCAGAAATTTGGAACCAAGTTCTTACAACTGTTAGACTGTATGTTCAATCTTAAAACAATATTAAGACTTCATCTGAGGTGGGAGAGTCAGCCACCTCTCCCTGGCTGAGCCTGAGAGACTTATCAGGTCATCTTAGTCAAATCGATTTGACGGATGAACACTTGAAGACGTTAGATGATCTAATGTCTTCAAGTGTTCATCCTTCAAACCGATTCAGTTATTTGTTCATAACTTTAATCTTGCCACTGGTAAAGGTGGAGCTCAATTTGATTACTGCTTATACGGCTGGGTTGACTTTATTAAAATACATAATCATTTATTAGTTTATTCAATTTTGAATCAATAACCTGAATCTGTATGGTAATAAAAGCTCTCAGATAAGTGTAGTGGAGTACAAAGTACAATATTTACCTCTAAGACATAATAAAGTAAAAGTATATAGTAGCAGAAAATACAAATACTAAATGACATGTAGCCTACTCGTGCAGTACTTCAGTAAGTCTGCTCAGTTACATTCCACTGTTGTTCACTAGGCAATAAAGCTGTGAAGTATTCTGTTTCACCGCAATACTACTACTGACGAACATTACTATAATTCTAGCATCACAATTCATGAACACATTTCAACTTTTCAATGATCAAGACATGTACTTTGAATCAGGTGCCAGAGTGCATTAAAAAGCATCAAAATCAAACTTGTTTATCAGCTCAGACACAGTTTAGCTTTTACTTTGAGCTATTCTTTAGCTGACTGTTATTCATAATGTTTTTGGCTTCTTGTTCCATATTCTTGAAATGTTTCTGAACGTCTTTACCGGTTCTAATGACCGTTGGATTTATGCTGTTGACCTTCCTTGTTACCTTCTCCCATACTTGGTTTGTGTCTATGTTCACCCATAATGCATTGCGCAGCAGGCTAAGTCAGTGGTACATAGCTGGCTCACAGGTTTATGCAACAGGTAACATTAAGTGTCCTTAAAGTCTGACTAAAAGTTATATTTAAGACAAGGACTATTGTTGAACAGCTTGTGACTTTTCTTAATGTTACTCTTTGTATCTTTTAAAACGTTTTGATTATTTAGTATACAGGTAAAACAATAATAATAATAAAATAACAAAAAGCAAGTTCGTCATCAATCTCCTCAAAGTTTATTGTGAGACCAATGGCCAAAATAGGTTTTAAAGGAAATTCTTCTCACAACCTTGATTTTATTTACTGTTTTTTAATTTAAAAGCATGATGTAATTAGAGTCATTATTAAGTGATGAGTGCTTCTTTCTCTCTGCAGAGCTCTGACGGAAAAAATAGTCTCTGTGCTACCGAAAATGAAGTGTCCTCATCGCCTCGAGCCCCATCAGATCCAAGGGCTGGATTTTATCCACATTTTTCCAGTGATACAGGTGAGAAAGTTCCTCTTCATTCTAAGCACGTCAGTGTCTAGGAGGGTGGAGGCCCTCCCCCTATAAAAGGGCCTGACACTACGCTGCCAGGCATTAAAACATGCTCACCTCTTCCTCACTACCAATGAGCAAGGAGGGTTGGTCTGGTTGGTCCCGCTCCTCAGATTGAAGCACTCACGGGCCACGCCCACAGAGTCCGCCTCTCTGGGTGGGGATTGAATATTTCTCCGCAGGTCCCTGTGTATTGGGAGGGGCAAGGAGCTGGGTTATCTCTGCCAGCCAGTGCTTTGACGGCCAATAAGGAGCTATGAGAATCACCATCAGACCCTGCGCTCTGGCTAGGGTCGGTGAAATCCGAGCTGTTGGGAGGAATGCATACAATAGAGCATGAGGCCACTGGTGAACCAGTGCGTCCACCCTCAGAGGTGCACTCTGATCGCGAAGGGACAAAAACACCCGTGACAACCTTGATTCATGAATGAATCATCTGTAGCCAATCAGATATCCACATACATCGTACATCCACGATGTTGAAGGAATACGCCGGCACACGGCGTGTTAACGTTACTAACTGACTTGAGGAATCCATGCGTTGGCTTGCAGTGTCCATGTTACACTTTACTGTTTCTGTCAGAGAAGAAATGACCGATCTGTTAGTTTGATATATTAGTAATATGACAGCTGGCTGACTCTAGCTAGAGTTTGCTTATGTTAACGTTAGCTATGTGTTTGTTTGCCACGTGATATCTGTGAGTCTGAAACAAGTGCTACAGTGCTGATACCCCCGACTTTAACTGCTACCAGAACAAACAGGTTATACACAGTAAGCCACGTTTCTTAAAGGAGACTAAAACAAACATCACTTGGCAAACAACCTAAATATAGCTCGACTGATGTCTGAGCCGTGATGCGTATACCCTGGTGATGCATGCGTATACCCTGGCGATGCATGCGTATACCCTGGCGATGCATGCGTATACCCTGGCGATGCATGCGTATACCCTGGCGATGCATGCGTATACCCTGGCGATGGATGACATCTGATTGGCTACAGATACTTCCTTGTTGAACAAAATGAATTGGTCCATCAAGCTAAGTCAGAGTCTCATAAACCCCTCAGTGAAGTTCACACATGGCAAGCAGTTTGTAAATAAATGTAACAACATCAAATATGCTTTTGTCTTTTTAAATACATATATTTGTGGATTTCTATTTAATTTATTTAAAACAAGAAATAATTGTGAGAACATCAGCAATACAGTATATTTATGAATCCTGTTGTCTGTTTTGTTTACATTTATCTATAATAACTTTTTGTAGAGGGAGTTGTAGATCAATCCCACAGCACCAAACTTTGTGAATCCTTTTGTATGTTTTATTAATATTGAAACTGAAATTTGACCCCATATTCAGTATCGTCTCATAAATGTGTTACAAACAGCAGGCCCTCCACCACTGAGCGATGGGGCAACTGTTACTCACTAGTAGAACGGGTCGGTTCAATCCCCGGCTGTCCATGTGTCCTTGGGCAAGACACTTAATCCCAAATTGCTCCCGTAGCTGGGCCTGCAGGGTGTGAATGAACCATGGTAGCCCTGTCATCAGTGTGTGAATGATGACATGAAGTGTTAAAGAGCTTTGAGTGGTCGGAAGACTAGAAAAGAACTCTACAAGTACAGTCCATGTACCATTTGGCCAGTGTGAGGTTTGACCTGTACAGAGTACCTTCTAGTGTATTCTTGTGCCTGAACAGTGTGTGTTGTGTCTCCTGCCAGTGGCTGGTGAAGCGAGCCATAGAGACCAGGGAAGAGATGGGCGACTATGTGAGAGCCTACTCCATTTCTCAGTTCCAGAAGACCCACAGCCTGCCAGAGGTAAGTACACAGTACCAGTCAGTCACAGAGACATCCAGATGATGTGAGGAATCCCTGTTTTGATCAGTTATGTAATAATACAGAAATGATGCTCAGGTAATGACCAACATCACGGAACATTAAATATCCATCTGCTTATGACCGTTATCTGACACCAGCACAGGCTTAATAATCTCAGCACGGTTAGTTCAAGTCTAAATTTTCATACAACTCTGAACGTGTTTTAACTGCTCGCAACACTTCAAAGTTCTGAGGTCTTTGTGCCAGGATTATGATATGTCAGAATGATGAAATATTAAGCCAAATTAATGAAATTCTTAAACAATTTGAGTCAAAATGACAAGATAGTAAAACCATTGTGAGACAGTAAGAAAGTAAAGATTGTGACTTACTGTCTCATAATTTCATTCCTTACTTTCCAACTGTGTTATCTTCTCCTTGTGGAGCTTAAATATCATACGATAGAATACAGCAGAAACACACAGCTAGTAAACGAGTCAGAAATCCGATTTGAAAAAATGCTTTAACCCTAACGGTCACTTCAGTATGTTGCAGGTGTGCGGTAGTCATCTCCAACCTTGCTTGGTGGTCTAGCATGCAAACCAAAAGGTGTGCGGCTATCACATGAATAAATGGTCCTGTGAGTAAGAGCTGCTGTTGTGCTGTGAAACCCTGTGGTCTAGGATGAAGAGCTCCTCCAGAGGAAAGACAAGGCTGTTAGGACCGTTCTGGATGTGTTGGTGAGTTGCTACACCATCACGCATCACATGAGCTGAATTCACTATGCAACTACTTGAATGACAAAGTACAACATGACCCAGAAATGATTAAGATGACTCTTTATACTGCATTTTTAAAACAATAAGTCCAAGCCCTAGTTGTGTTTTATAGGAAGTGTACAAACCCCAGAGGAAGTACAGGAGGCAGAGGGATGCAGGGGAGCTGCTGGATGAGGAGTCCAGGGTTCACTCCACTCTGCTGGAATATGGCAGGTAAGACTTCACGCGTGCGTGCGTGCGTGCGAGCGTGCGTGCGTGCGTGCGTGCGTGCGTGCGCGTTTGCGTTTGCGTTTGCGTTTGCTCTGTCACTTTCTCTGTAATTCACTTTTTGTCCAGGCGGCCTTGAAGTGGCGATCCTTAAGAGTTCAGCTCTGGTTGATTTAACAGTGGCAGTAGTTGGTCACCAGTTACAGGCATTTAATGTGAAGCTGCAGCAGCAGCAAATGTTCAGTTCGCATTAATTTGATGCAGCGTTTTCACTGTGAACATTGCCAAAGACACCCAGTCCGTAATACTGAAAACATATGAATATGGCGATAGTTAGTGAGTAGGCCATAGGCTCCATCACCGTTGTGTTAACTCACAGGGTGACCGGTGACTCTCCAGACATTTATTTAATTACAATCTTCCAGAAGGCATCGCTGTCATTAAGACGATCCAGTATGTCAGCTTTGGACCACACACTATAATTGCATAACCAGATAAACATCCGGTTTTTCATCACCATAGTACACTTTGAGATCTGGTCTCAGCATGCTACCAACCTGACACACACCAGAATAACTCTTATTGATGCTTATTGTGAAAATGTATTATTTTGTAATTTTGTCAAACCAACACGAATAAGAGTTTAGCATGAAGAACTAACTTCTGCTCCAAGCTGAATTTCTATGAGAAACACTGTCTACGACATATTCATTGTCCTTCCTTAGCCAACATTCTCTCTGTGACCTTCGACCTGAACCCGTCATGGGCTGCTGTAGTCTATTATCCACTCATCTGATGTCCAGTGTCTTATCTGTCTGACTTTGTCTTTTCATCCATCCATCCCCACCTCTGTGTTAGAATGTCACATGTCCTCCTGTAAGTACTGTATGACCGTGTGGAGCTTTCTTCTTCTGCACGCTTCTACTCACAGCGCTGTGTTCTGTGGTTGAACGTGTCAGAGTGCAGCTGTGTTTTAGGCATGATGGATGCAAACTGTGCTGCTGTTTTGATGTACTTTTGTATCATTTATGGTAATTGATTACTGCCTCTGGATGTGTTGATGTTGTGGTGTGGCATGGTGAACCGGCAATAACGTACTCCCTCTTTAAAGTTCCTCACCTCTCTTCTCTCTCTCTCTAGGCGTTATGGATTCAGCAAACAGTCCAAACAAGGCGAGGTAGGCTGCTCAAGGATTTGTCTTTTACAATGGAACAGTTGTTTTTTTGCTTGGAGAGTTTTGCAAAGAGTATTTAATTTCCCATTTATCACTTCTCAGCCCTAAACAGTGAGAAGCACTCCTGTATGTCCACTCCCACCACCACTGCTACTGGGGGTTCAGTAGTGAGGCGTGTCAGGAGAAGATTAGCAGACACATACATGCTGGACAAGAACACCCCTGCACTGGGAATGGTATCATCCATGTCGCTTGTAATGACGATTCCAACCGGACTTCTGAAATTTGAAAATGAGATTTTAGCAGACTCCTTCACTAGCTTAATGTGGCGGGTCCTGTTTCTCCACATCAGTAGCTTTAACCTGATCCACACAACCAAACCGGCTCGCTCACGTCTGGCACCGCTGCCATCACCTCTCCAGTCATAAACTCACCAGCTCCCCCTTGAGCCCAGCTACTCTCAAAGACCATTCCAGTTATTAGTCTGAGATCACAGCATGAAACTAACCTTTGCAGACAGAATCTCAGAACTATAGAAAGTATATTTCTGCTGTAGCTCATAACTACCATGGCTTTATTAATGAAGGATCACACAGCACAGAGTCCTTCACAATCTATCGTCTGATCTCTGACCAGACGTGGCTCAGCTGTAATGTCACTGTCCTTGTTAAAACCTGCTCACCCAACTACAGGTTTTAATCTCACTGAGGCAGAATCGGGGGGGGGGGGGGCACTATTCAGTGCTTTGGTATGTTGTGTTGATTTCTCCACATATGAGCACACTGCATTTACTTTAAAGGCGGAGCAGCAGGTACTCATACTGACAGTATCGACAGGTTATCTTTCATAGTTTTCAGAGCTTATGTCGCTCATTATCACTAACAGAGAGTAATTATAAATGGTCATATTAATATCCATGTAAATAATGTATCTGACACCAAAACTACAAAATCCCTCAATATCTTGTACAGCCTAGAACTTAATCAGCATGTTGCTCAGAGTAACTGCAGTGAGCGGCTCCTCCACAGTAGCACAGAGTCTCTCCCTAGCGCTAACGATGAGGTTACATCATCAAGCAGTTCAATACAGTCCCATAGCTATGCAGATGACACACAAGTATACAGTTGTGTTGATCCAACTAACACTGATGTCGTATCGTCTCTGACTGCCAGTAGAGTCAGAAAGAAGTGAGCTGACCAGACTTCTGTAGCTTTTTTTAAACAAAAGAACACACAATGGGTTCAGTCCACAGGGGATAGACCAATAAGAAGAGAGCCTGTATATGTATATGTATGT